CGTCTTATACGCCCAGTCGTCTTATACGCCGGAAAATATGGTAGTTCTTTCTGACAGAGAAGTATGGATACACCCAGTGCCACTCTTGTGCATTAATACTGTCAAATTCTCAGTTCTGCATCTTTTATCCCATTCTCTGTAAGCTCTGTAGTTCTCTGAGCAAGAAAGCTTGCATTTGCACAAGACTAAAATACACTTGTGTGGGATGCAGTGGGGCACACTTTGCATGAACATACCACAAGGCAGTTCTACATTTTACATTAATAGTTTTGTTCCCTAGGAACTATGCTTTGAATTGAAGCTTCAGTTTTTAGACTTATATCTACATACCACATTTCATTATGGCTCTGAGGGAAATATGAATTCTTTCTGCTAATTGATTAAATTTGTATTGTTGGATGCATATGGACAATTCTTATGGTGTACAAATTAAGTAAGGCAAAGCCATGTGCGAATTCAGGCACTCCTCAGTTTATAAATGTCTCCCATATGCCATATTGTGTCTGAAAATTATTTCTTTTCTCAGCCATAATCAGATAGCAGGATTTTACAGTCTGTAGGGGAGAAAGGCTCCAATGATATGTGCATGAAAAGAGTCTTCAGGGCAACATAGAACTGGCCAAAAGGGAATGTTACAGTTGTCTTGGGGGGTGGGGGTGAGTGGGGGGACTATAACATGGAGAAATTAAATATGAAAATAAATGTGCAGCATGATTCTTTGCATGTTTACAGAGAAGTAAAACAGCTCTTCTATACTGTATCCATTTAGAGCACCTATCTATACTGTACACATTTAGTTGGGAGTATAATCCATTAAACAAAGTGGGATTTATTTCTCAGTAATCATGTATAGGTGTGTTGCATGTCCTGGAAGCCAAGGGAATGTATTTAAATGTTTCCTTACCTGACCTTGCAAAACACTTCAAATTGCAGCAAGGTATGTATTGTTCATGCAAAACAGATGAACCTTTTCATGGCACCAACTGAAACCAGTCATTTTCACATTTTACCCCAGACAGGTTAAAGATCACTTCAGGTCTGCAGAGCTAAAGGCTAATAGCATTGATCCATGTCAAGAAGGAAAGCCACAACTGGATTTTTCTGCAGCATTTGAAGTCTGCAGATGTATTCCCTGTAGATTATTTGAAAAGGGATAGGCAATAGTGTTCCTAAATCTCAGGGCCTGGACCCTCTTCTCTGGTCCTCAGGGGAAGAGGGAAGAATCTCAGAGAAAGAGTGTGACCTGGCTGGGGGGGGGGGGGAAGAATGAGAGAGAGAGAGAGAATTTTCATCAGTTTTGAAACATGGGCATTTTTTAAAAAAAATATATATTATTTGAATTGTGTACTCTGTGCAGCAGTGGTTGATGCCTAATGTTTCATGCTTAGTAACATCACCAAGGGCTATCCCCAGTTACATCACCCTTGTGACATCATTAGAGCCCATTTCTTGTGACATCACAAGACCCCTAAGTATTAGGCTTCGGTGCTGAAGTCTCCAGGCCAGAGATAGTCCTCATCTGGCAGTTGTATTGGGCAACTGTGATTGCAAGCAAATTTTCGTCCTGCAACTTCCCACAGGAATACAATACACAACAATGTCCCCAGAAGTACCATGGCATAATAATAATAATAATAATAATAATAATAATAATAAGTATATTCCCCCTCTCCAAATAGATCGAAGCAGCTAACAGTAATAAAACAGCACTAAAATACAGTAAAACATCATATCCCCAAACCCTCCCATCCACAATAAAAAGTACATTTTAATTATTAAAACAAAGCAGGGGCAATTGAGGGGCAATTAATGGGAGGCAACTGAAAGGCTAATCTGGGAAGGCCTGCTGGAAAAGATATGTCTTGATTACCCTTTTAAAGCAGTCGAGACTGGCAATGTGTCAGATCTCCTCCAGAAGGCTGTTCCATAACCTGGGAGCGGCAGAAGAAAAGGTCCTCTTCTGGTTTCATTTTTTACTTGAAAAACAGCCATTTCCCTCCTTCTTTCAAGATTTGTGATTTATTGGGAGGTTGTGGAAAGAAACCATCCAAACTGTTATGTTTTTCAACAGTTTCTCAGCAGTTTGAGCAATTGGGGGTGATTGGGGGAGATGGGTCTTTGGCAGGAGTCCTGTAGGACTTAGGGAGCTGTCCTTTTTCCCACCCCTGATTTCAAGTATATTTTTCCATTGAAAGCCTTAGGGGAAATAGTATAAGGTCTCAGTCCAGATTCATGTGCCTGGGTGAAATGAATCAAGACAAAACAATATCCAACTTGGCTGAATCTGTTGTACTTAGAAGGAAATGATTATTCTTTTCTTTTGGCCTTCAGTTCCACATGGGAACCAATGCACCTCTGCTTCTGTCTAAGTGGACTCCCCAAAGCAGCATACCCTCCAACATTTCATAGATGAAAACTGGGAGATGTTTTGACAATCAACATCAGAGAACGGTCAAGATGACGAAAGTTATCAATAAGGAAGAACACACAAGCTAGGAGGTGCTGAAGCAGGTTGCTTTTGCCTGAGTCTATAGGGAAGGGCATGATTACCTTTTGATTGCCTTGTGCTTACTTTTCGGTTGGCCTATGGAATGATATCTTCATGGCTATTGTCCCATATAATCCTGGGATTTCTAGTTTAGAGAGGGGCAATTGGAATTCCCAGCCAGAGTTCTAATGCCTATCAACCCCATATAACTATCAACCCCAGGAAGCCAAACAAGGAAGCAGAAGCAATTAAAGTGGAATCATAGTGTTATAATTGTGCTGTGTGAAAGAGCCCTAAGGCATTGGCTGCAGGAAACCGTTGATGCTACTTCCTGATGTCTACAGATCAGACCAGGCAGTCCCCCTCCTTAACTGTCTTGTTACGGGTAGCCACCAGCCCTTACCAATGAATTACTTTACTGACTGCCACTGTGTTTCCATGAACCTCATTGGCATTTGTGATGTCTGAAATTCAAGAGGGAGAAAAAAGTTTGAATGGTGTGAATTTCACAGTTAATAAATACTCAGGCATCTGAAACATTAGTGTACATCCTACAGGCTTGTACAGAATGAGTGTGTTATATTTACTAGTTTTGTTCAGGCCTTCCCCACAATGAGCATGGCACTTTATAAAGGAGAAAGATTTGTGAGCTCAAACCTCTAAAGGAGAGTTAATGCCTCAACTGAGCAAATACGAGAAGGCAAGACTGTGGGTTTCTTTAAGGGAAAGAAATGTAGAGTGGCGTTTTCTAGCTGAAAATTGCATAATTATGTTTCTCTTACCTCAGGCAAGTTCTACCAGT